TACTTTGAGGCAGTCTCATTTGTCAGTTCTTTTCTAGGCAATTGGAATCTTGTTCAGAAAATAATTGTTTATGCCAATAACTTCCAGAGTTTTATGTTTTTTTCTGTACTAGATTTACAGTTTTAGACCTTACGTTGAGTTCTTTGATTCATTTGGAGTTGATACAAGGTATGAGAGAAGAATCAAGTTTCAGTTTCATGCATGTTGATAACCATTTTGCCAGCACCACTTGTGGACTCTTCCACAAGTGTCTTTTTTTAAAGTATATTTTTTGTTCCCTTGTTGAAAAGGTTTGATTTCTAGGTTTTCTATTTTCCATTGGTCTTCAGGTTGTTTTGTTGTTGTTGTTTTTAGTTAGGGGGCTTGAACTCAGGTCCTAGGCACTCCTGAGTTTTTTCACTCAAGGCTAGAGCTCTACCACTTTTGAGCCACAATGCCACTTCCCGTTTTCTGATGGTTAATTGGAGATAAGAGTCTCATGAACTTTCCTTTGAAGTCTGGCTTTGAACTGTGATCCCCAGATCTCAGCCTCCTGACTACCTAGGATTGTGGTGTGAGCCACTGACACCAGGCTCTTAGGTTTGTTTTTGTGCCAATATCATGCTGTTTTTGTTATTATGGCTCTGTAGTATAATTTGAAGTCCAGTATTGTGATACCTTCTATATTGCTCTTTTTGCTCAAGATTGCATTTGCTATTTGATGCCTTTCATGCTTTATCTGATTTTTTTGATAGATGTTTCTATTTTATGAAGAATGACATTGAAACATTGATGGATATTGCATTGAATCTGTAGATTGCTTTTGGCAGTATGGTTATTCTCATCATATTCTGCCAATCCATGAGTATGGAAGGTCATTCCATCTTCTGGTGTCTTCTTCAATTTCTTTTAAGTTTTCTTAGTAGTTGTTTTTTTTTTTTTTTTTTTTTCGTCAGTCGTTGGGGCTTGAACCCTGGGCTTGGGTGCTGTCCCTCAGCTCTTCAGCTCAAAGCGAGCACTCTACCACTTGAGCCACGGTGACACTTCCGGTTTCTGGAGGTTTATTGGAAAGAAGAGTCTCACAGCCTTTCCTGCCCGGGCTGGCTTTAAACCAAGATCCTCAGAACTCAGCCTCCTGAGTAGCTAGGATTACAGATGTGTTTAGTTGTTTTTTGTTTTGTTTTGTTTTTTGGGGGTCTGGTGATGGGGCCTGAACTCTGGGCCTGGGCACTGTCCCTCAGTTCTTCAGCTCAAGGCTAGCGCTCTACCACTTGAGCCACAGTGCCACTTCCGGCTTTTTTTCTTTTTGCTTATGTGGTGCTGAGGAATCGAGCCCAGGGCCTCAGGCATGCAAGGCAAGTGCTCTACCGCTGAGCCATCTTCCCAGCCCCCAGTTTTTTTTCTTTTTTGAAGGTTGTAGGGCTTGAACTCAGGGCCTAAGTGCTCAAGGCTTTTCTGCTCGAGGCCAGAGCTCTACCACTTTGAGTGACAACTCTACGTCTGGGTTTCTGGTGGTTGACTGGAGATAAGAGCTCACAGACTTTCCTGCCTAGTCTGGTTTCAAACTGAGATCCTCAGGACACAGCCTCCCTCCTGAGTAGCTAGGATTACAGGAGTGAGCCACTAGTGTTTATTGTGGATGTTTTCACCTCATTGGTTAATAGATGTTTTATTGGTTTTGAGGCTTTGTTTTCCTGATTTATCTTTCTGCTTTTTTATTATTGTTGATATAATACAGACAAGCTACTAATCTTCCTGGCAAAAATTCCCTAATCTTCATTATTTCTTTCCATCTGCTAATTATTAGGTTTGTTCTCATTTTTCTAAAAACCTGTGGCATATCATTAGGATATTTGAAATCTCTCTAGTCTCCTTAATGTAGGCTCTCATAGCTATAAATTGTCTTATTAAGCCTGCCTTTTCTGTATCCCAAAGGTTGGTAGCTTGTTTTCTCATTTTCACTGGGTTCCAGGAACTTTTGAAATAAGGGAGAGATATCCCTTATTTCTTCAGTGATCCACTGGTCATTCAACAATATGTTGCTCAGTCTCCATGTATTTGAATATTTTATGTAGTATCTTTTTTGTATGTTTGTGTACTGATCCTGAGACTTGAATTCAGGGCCTGGATGCTGTCCCTGAGATTTTCTGCCCAAGGCTAGTATTCTTCCACTTTGAGCACAGCTCCACTTCTGGTTTTCTGGTGGTATATTAGAGATAAGAGTCTCACAGACTTTTCTGCCCTGGCTTGCTTTGAACTGATCCTCAGATCTCAGGTGGCATGAACCACCGGTGCTTGCTGTAGTATCATTTGACGTTAAGTTTTAGTTTAGTTCCATTATGGCATGATAGAATACAGGGTGTTATTTCAGTTTTTTAAAAAATATTTCCTAACTTGCTTTATGTCCTAAAGTATCATCTATTTTGGAGGAAGTTCCACAGGCGCTAAGAATATGTATTATGCAGCTGCTGAATGAAATACTCTATAGATGTTTGTTAAGTCCACTTGGTCTATAGTATCATTTAGTTCTGACAATTTCTTTGTTAATTTTTTGAAGGATTTATTGGTGAGCTTGGGACATTTGAAATTTCCTGCTATTGTTATACTGGGATATATCAGTGCTTGTAAGTCCAGAATTGTTTATTTAGTGAGCTTGAGTATGTCACTTTGTCAGGAAAATTCGTTTTTGTATGGATCCATGTGCTTGCCAGATGTTTTTCCATCTGCCCTAAGTATTTGTCTTTGTCAATGAGATGTTTCTTGTAGACAACAAATGAGTAGGTCCTGCTTTCTAGTCCAAGTTACTGTTCTGTGTCTTTTGATGGGAGAATTGAGATCATTAACACTCAGTGTTACTATTGAAATACTATGCATTTCCTGTCATTTTACTGTTTTTCTGATAAGGGCTTCTTTCCTATTTCTTCTTCACTAACCTACTCAACTAGTAGGTCTTATTTGTTCCTGTTTTTGATTGCTGTGCTCTGTTGGATTCTGTTAGCATCCAATAGAGTGCTGGCTTAGTAAATATGAATTCCTTTCACTTTCGTTTATTGCACAAGGTCTTTATTTTACTCTTAATTATGAAGTATAATTTTGTTGGATATACTAATGTACATCGGCAAGTATTACTCTTCAGGACTTGTTTGTTTTTTTTTGGGGGGGGGTCCGGTCATGGAGCCTGAACTCTGGGCCTGAGCACTGTCCCTCAGCTCTTCAGCTCAAGGCTAGCGCTCTACCACTTGAGCCACAGCGCCACTTCCAGCTTTTATCTTTTTGCTTATGTGGTGCTGAGGAATTGAACCCAGGGCCTCTGGCATGCAAGGCAAGCGCTCTACCACTGAGCCACCTTCCCAGCCCCCAGGACTTGTATTATGTTCTACAATGCCCTCCTTGCATTTAGAATTTGTGTTGAATAATGTGTCAGTTATCCTCTGTGGTTGCTATTGTATATGACTTGCAGCTTCAGTATTCTGTATATTTGTTGCCTTAACTATAATATGTTTAGGGGTATTTCTTCTTAAATCTTATTTCCTTGGGGTTCTGTATGACTCCTCTGTGTAGATGTCCTTCTCTTCCTCATGGTTAGGGAAGCTTTCTTCTTTTATGTAATTAAATAGATTATCTGTGCCTTTAGTTTTCCTTCTATATCCATGATTTATAGGATTGGCCTTTTTAAAGAGCTTCAGAGGTTTTGCATATAAATTCATATTTTTTTAGTATTTTCAAAAATAAACAATCAGGTTGTAGGAATGGCTTAAGCTTCACAAATGTCAGGTCCCGAATCCACATCCTGGTACCTGCCAAAATGGTTGGGGTGCCCAATTTCTAAAACCTATATATCTGATTTTGTTGTTAGATATGTCTGAATTTTATTTGCTTCTTAGGGCTATTCGTAATAGGGATCATAGTCTGGGAGATTTAAAAAACATCTGTTGTCTCTCAGTTATGGATGCTGGACGTCTGAAATCAAGATCTCAGCAGGCTCATGTTCCCTCTGGAAGCTGCTAGGACCTCTGTCCTGACCTCCTCTTGTCTTTGTTGGTTTCCAACAATCTTTGGCACTCCTAGGCTTGCAGGGTGATCACCCTAGTCTCTCATCTTCATAGGCTCTTCTTCCTGGATACCCCCTGACATAGTCTTCCCTCTGGATTTCTATTCGTAGCCAGATCTCTTCTTTCTATAAGGACACTAATTACTGTATTAGCCACCTATTTTACTGATCTCAACGTCATTATATCTGTAGACTGAACACAACTGAACTCAAATAATATGACATGTAATATTCTCCCTACCTTTCACATGAGTCTGAGTCTATCAATACTTTCTAGTCTTTCTGAATACTTCATGAGACTGCTGCTGTCTTATAATCCTGTCTGTTTCTCATTTGAAAATTAGACTTCGCAATTAGCTTTCTTAACATTTCAACATTGTCTAGAGTACACAGGAGAAAAGAGAACTTTGATATGACAAAGAAGAACATATTGTTGGTCTGATTTAAGACCTTGGACATGGAAGCTCATACTGGCTATGCTTTACTGACCATCAATATCTGCTTTTCTGCTCTCTGGAATGCTGTCCTATGAACTGGTGCTTCCATCTAGTTTTTCTGTCATTTTGCTTTCAAGTTAGGTTCCATGTAACAGTCATACAGATCAGAGAGAATAATTACGTTTAATAAGTGAAGGTAACAACAAAATCCAGCAGAACTTCTAAAAAGTTGATTTCCATATACACTACTCATGATTGGGAGCAGATACAAAAAGGAACCATAACACACTTACCCCATATCTGCACTTACAAATACCATAGATTACCTATAATAGTTTGTTTTCTATACATTCAAATTGTAACCAAGACATGATGGTACGTATTTGACAGAAGAGAACCTATTTATATTCCTGCACAACTGAGCACCTCACAGTACTGAATTTCCAGCATCTTTGTTTTATCCAAAAATAAAACTTTCTTATTTTGAAAATAGAATGTTCTTTTCTGAAATGACTGAAAATACAGTATACCTGTTTTTTTAAAAAATATGTTTATTTGGAGAATGTTAGCACAATTCTACCTCCCAAGGTATGCATTCATCAGCTTGATCAGTTCAGGTGAGTATTGCACACAACTCAATAGCTGTTTTCCTCTTCTGTGTTACTACTGATAATTAATAATCCAAAAATGTGATGTTTTGGAAGTTTATCTAAAAAGGAAAAAGCTGTGGAAAATGTTTGAAGCAATGGTTTTAACCACCTTTTTCTCTCTTCAGGAAACTTTAACTGCATATTTCAGTCGGGTGGAATCTTTTGTGTTATTCTGACTGTCAATAAGAACCAGGGGATTGTGTTGATGATTCTTGATAATTTCAGCAACACTTCCAAAGTACTAGAAGACAAAAACATGGATGAATTAAACATGTTTATTCATGTTAACTTCATGCTCCACTCCTCCCATCATCTCCCATTTTCTCAAGATCCCAGCTAATCTCCTGCCCAAACAGTCCTGTTGTCTTGAGTTTTGAGGGATATGGAATTTCTTATATTTAGTAAGACTAAAAACACAGCCTCAATTAGCATAACTATGTAGAAAAATTACTTTGAGTCATAATACATATTTTAAATATTTTTCTCAGTTAAAAAATATTTTGCTTTTTATTTAGTGTCAAGTGTGAAGTTATCTACTAGTGAATATTTCTACCTTCTCCATAAAGAGAACAAAGTATCAGTTATATTACACAGGTCTTAGACATAAAGACTCAGGGAGCTATAGTTTACATCTTGAGTATCTCCCAAGAGCCGACAGGCTAAAGTCTTTGTTCCCAGAATGGCATTATTGAAAGCTAGTGGGGCCTTTATGAAGTGAGGCCTGTTGAGAGGTCTTTAATTCATTGGGGGGAGGTGTCCTTAAGAAAACTGTGGGGAGGGCTGGGAATGTGGATTAGTGGTATAGTGCTTGCCTAGCATGCACAAAGCCCTGGGTTTGATTCCTCAATACCACATAAACAGAAAAAGCTGAAAGTGGTGGTGTGGCTCAAGTGGTAGAGTGCTAGCCTTGAGCAAAAGAAACTCAGGAACAGTGCTCAAGCCCTAAGTTCAAGCCCCACACCTAGGAAGAAGAAGAAGGAGAAGAAGAAGTAGAATGCCTTGCACTCTCACCATAATGTGCTTCTACAGGCCCAAGAAAACAAGCATCAGTCATGGATTGATGAAAACTATGAATCAAATTAAGCCTTTTCTCTTTATAATTTCATTATCTCAGGTGTTTTGTTACCATGATAGAAACTAAAACACAGGAAAGGATGTAATAAATAGAATTTAGTACCAGAAAGAAATTATTTCCTACATACATTTATATTTTGTTAGTTTTCTTTTTTGAATGAGAACTTTAGAACCCACATGCTTCCATCTGTGCCTAGCTACCAGTAATAAGCTTACAGCTAAGTTAGTGCCTAGTTAATAATGAAATTTCATGCTGGACTCTCATTGTACATATTAAGTTATATATATGTGTGTGTGTGTATATGTATGGATATAGCTATGTATATAACTATATAGAGATACAGATATTTTTTGGTGATCGTGGGGTTTGAACTCTGGGCCTGGGCACTGTCCCTCACCTCTTCAACTCAAAGCTAGCGCTCTACCACTTGAGCCACAGTGCCACATCTGGTTTTCTGAGTGGTTTATTGGAGATAAGACTTTTCCTTCCCCGGGCTGGCTTTGAACCGAGATCCTCAGATCTCAGCCTCCTGAGTAGCTAGGATTACAGGCGTGAGCCACCAGTGCCTGGCTAAGTTTTATATATTTTAATCACATCTATAGGAGTTAAGGTTGTCATATTTGTTTTTCTGGAAGTGATTAGATTTTAAAGATTGATTAAATGTAACACATACCATTAAATTCCTTAAGTATCCAACAGTGCTACAAATTTAGTTACCAAATAAGTGCAATTAGAATCATTTTTAAAAATGGTAATTACTTCACATTAGTGCTGTGAATCCATTAATTAGTAACAGTTGATTTTATTGTCCTTTATTTTTTCATATATAAATATCCAGAATAAAAAAAGTAGGAATAAATATAAAGCCTTTGTAAACCATTTGGACAGCTTCCAAAATCTATACATTAAATAAATATTTAGAGCACAAATCAACTTTTTCTAGTGAAACGCCAGTTATTTGTAGGTAATTGGTTATGAATGTTAGGTCATGCACCTAACATGTGAGAGACAGGGGCCTTCAAGTACTTTTTTTTTGGGGGGGGGTTGGTCATAGAGCTTGAACTCAGGGCCTGGGTGCTGTCCCTGAGCTCTTTTATGCTCAAGCCCTGCACACTACCACCTTGAGCCACAGTGCCACTTCCAGTTTTTGAGTGGTTAATTGGAGAAAAGAGTCTCACGGGGGCTTTCCTGCTCAGGCTGGCTTCCACCACAATCAGATTTCAGCCTCCTAAGTAGCTAGGATTACAGGCATGAGTGACCAGCACCTGGCAGAACTTTTATATTTATTCCTTACTTTCTCTTCTGTTACCAATGACATTTTTTTTATCTTTTATTTCTTTGTGCCAGTATTGGGGCTTGAACCAGCTTATGATATTTAAAGCTTTAAACTAAGATAAGTACTGGTGGTTCACACCTGTAACCCTTAGCTATTCAAGAGGCTGAAGAGCCAGTTTGGGCAAAAAAGTTTCAAGAACTCCATCTCTAACTAGCAAAAAGCTGGGCTAGAGGTGTACCTCAAGAGGTAGAGTGAACAAGCCACACAAGAGCTCCAAGCTCCAAGCTGAAGCCCTGGTACTAAGGGGAAAAAAAAACAAAACAAAAGATTGCACTATAAAAATTCTAGAAGAAAATATAGGGGAAAAATTCATGACATTGGATTTGGCCAATGATTTCTTTCTTGAATAGGACACGGAAGACACCCAAAACAAAAAAATAGGCAAATAAGACTGTATCAGACTTTATACTTCTCCGTGTGCACAATACATGGCTATAGATCTAAATTAAAGGAAATTTCTAGCTGGGTATGTTGATGCATACTAGTATTCCCAGCATTCAGAATGATGAGGCAGGAGGATCCTAAGTTCAGTGTCAACCTGGGCTACATAGAAAGATTCTGCCTCAACCAAAAGTAAAATTAAATACAAATTACTGACCTCTTCACCATTTTTCTTTCTGCCCAAAGCATATTGTTTTGTTGCTTCAATAAATCGCACAGGAATATTATAGACTCGCTTATTAAAGAATACAACTAGTGTATATGGTTGTTTGGAATCATGACCAGAGCTTTTCCGAATAAGAAATGATCCATCCTGTTTAATAAAAATAAAGCATTATTATGGCTAGTATTACTTAACATTTTATAGTTTATGAACTATACAATTCAATTGATGAAAAATACATATATGCTGGTTATTTTCTAAGAAAATAATTCACAAAACATATATTCACTAAAAACCATAAGTGAACCACAACATTTAAAATCCCAGCTACTTGGGATTGATCTTGGTTCAAGACCACCAGCTAAGGCTGGTATCAACAGAAATAAACAGTGTAGATATGTGTGCCTGTCATTCCAGCCACAGAAGGAAGCATAATTAGAAGGATCATGGTCCATGTTAGCCTGGGGAAGAAGACTCTATCTTGAAAACAAGCCAAAGCAGAAAGAGCTAGTGGCATGGCTCAAGTAGTAGAGCTTCTTCCTAGCCAGCTTGAGGCCCTGAGTTCAAACCTCAGTAATAGAAAAGAAAACACACAAAATCATGTGTGAGGTCAATGTTGTCATGTTATTGTGTTTGTAGTTTAGAAATATGTGAAGGGACACAAGAGAAAACCTAGAGGACATTTTCGTGTTTGTGAGTGCCAGCGGAGCCTGGGCTTCAACTCAGGTCCTGGGCACTGTCCCTGAGCTTATGTGCTCAAGGCTAGTGCTCAACCACTTTGAGCCACAGCTATAGGAGTCTCACGAACTTTCCTGCCAGGACTGGCCTTGAACCATGATCCTTAGATCTCAGGCTTCTGAGTAGCATGAGCCACCAATATCCAGTTTAAAAGGACACCCTTCAATATAGAAACATGCCCACAAATTGTGGGTAAAAACAGTAGTTAAAAAATCCATTCATTGGGGCTAGGAAGGTGGCTCAGTGGTAGAGCTCTTGCCTTGCATGCATGAGGCCCTGGGTTCGATTCCTCAGCACTACATAAGCAAAAAGAAAAAAGCAGGAAGTGGCACTGTGGCTCAAGTGGTAGAGCGCTAGCCTTGAGCTGAAGAGCTGAGGGACAGCGCCCAGGCCCAGAGTTCAGGCCCCACAACCGGACCCCCCCAAAAAAAATCCATTCATTTAGACTACTACAGAATAGCTATTGGGAGTTAAAACCTTTAGCTGTGAAAATTCTCAAAGAACTCATGATAAAGAAAAATCAGCATAATACCTTAAATTTTATTAAATATTACATAAAAATATTCTATAATTAAAAGTTCAAAAAAAAAACAAAAACTGGACAAAGACTTCAAGAAGAACTGCAACAAGAATGGATCTAACTTAGAAAAGCATTTGAAGAGAAACTGTATTTTAGGAACAAGGAGATCATTTGGAGATGTTTGAGGACTAAATAGACAAAGATTTGCTATGTGATGTTGAAGAAAGAGATGGAGACCACTGGAACATCTGAAAATGAGAATTAATAAAATACATTAAGGTCTGGGAGACAGTGGTTGGAGCAAAAGAATGATTTAAAAATCTAAAATACATGTGATTTAGGTCTTTGACAAGAAAAACAGAACAATAGAATGGAACTACCCTTTGAGGCTATAAGAAAACTTACTAGATATAAGGGAAAACTTATAGTGACATATTGAAAGATCTTCTGTGTACTTGGGAAAACTCATCTGAAATAAATTGATTCAGACATATTCCAATACAATTTGACTTTAAAAACAGTGTGTAGAAGCCAAATGCCAATGGCTCACGTTTGTAGTCCATTCAGGAGGCTGAGATCTGAGCACAATCAAAGCCAGCCCAGGCAGGAAAGTCCATGAGACTCATCTCCAATGAACCACCGAAAGTCAGAAGTGGAGCTATGGCTTAAGTTGTAGAGCACTAGCTGTAAGCACAAAAGCCCAGGGACAGCACTCAGACCCTGAGTTCAAGCCTCAAGACTGGCACAAAAAAGGAAACAAACAAAAAGCCTCCTAAACAAAACAAAAACTCAAGCCTTCAGACTAAAGAACTAAAATTACATACAAGGGCAAGAAAGTAACACTCAAGTCGGACTTCTCAAAAGCCTCACGTCAAAAGCTTCAAGTCAATCCTGCAGAACAACTATCTTAAAAACTCAAACTAAGTCAGGAGCCAGTGACTTCTGCCTGTCATCCTAGCTACTCAGGAGGTTGAGATCTGAGAATTGAGGTTCAAAGCCAACCTAGGCAGGAAAGTCTATGAGACCATTATCTCCAAGTAACCAACAAAAAGATAAAAGGGAGGAGTAGGAAGCGGGTGAAAGAAAAGAAGAGGTGCTCCACAAAGAAGGATTCTGAGGGCACAATGATGGCATTCAAAGGCGAGCAAACCTTGTTGGATCTATGTAACGCCTCTTCAGCAGACTTCCGGTCACAGGAACCAGCATACCAGGGTTTAGAATGAACATCAGCTTCCTGTGAAAATGAAGGCATTGTTCAGCATGTGCGAGTGGTTCCTTTAATGTCTGTAAAGACTTCTGCAACTTCTGTGCCAAGACTCACTTTGTAAGAGCAAGCTGGAAACCAATAGTCTGCATCAATAGTCTGTGAGTCTGTGGTTCCTCTGACCCACCCAGGCACTATGTCTACATTACTTGGCTTTAGCTGCTAAACTTAGTTCTTGAACATAACTAAATCCCTCTAAGTTCCTGAACCACTACTTCCTTCCTTTCTCCCAAGTAAATTAGAATCTCTCTTCCATTAAGTTCTTTTTTTTTTTTTTTTCCATCGGTTGTGAAGCTTGAACGTTGGGCCTGGGCGCTGTCCCTGCGCTCTTCAGCTCAAGGCTAGCACTCTACCACTTGAGCCACAGCACCACTTTCAGTTTTCTAGTGGTTTATTGGAGATAAGAGTCTCATGGACTTTCCTGTCCGGGCTGGCTTTGAACCACAATCCTCTGATCTCAGACTCCTGAGTAGCTAGGATTACAGGCATGAGCCATGGCGCCCAGCCCATTGAGTTCTTATTACTCGCTGTCTGTGGAGTACACTGTAATTTCCAAAGTGTTTTTATGAATATTATCTGACTTCATTCTTGCAAATAACAGTACATACCTTCTTTGAAGGCAAGGGTAACTGTTACCATATTTTGTTTACATTTTTATATAAGCTCAGGAGGACTTATACAGGGCACAGACTCCATTCTTCTGTCTCTTTTTAAACTGTGCTATCTTAGGTGTTTTATTATAAACTTCTACAGTTCTATTCTGAGGAAATCACAATAAAAGCTATGTTAGAAAAATTAACAATAAAGCTGGGCGCCAGTGGCTCATGCCTGTAGTCCTAGCTACTCAGGAGGGTGAGATCTGAGGATCGTGGTTCAAAGCCAGCCCGGGCAGGAAAGTCCCTGAGACTCTTATGTACAATAAACCACTAGAAAACTAGAGTGGCGCTGTGACTCAAGTGGTTAAGAGTACTCCCCTTGAGCTGAAGAGCGCAGGGACAGCTCCCAAGCTCAGAGTTCAAGCCCCATGAACAAACAAACAAACAAAAAAGAACAATAAAAGCAACACATTTCCTTGCAGGTTTGAAGAAATACTAATTGTTATTCAGGGCATCAGGAATACCAATCAGAATAAATAGAGCAAACCAAAACCAAGGCTCTGTTCTCAAGCCTTACTCCAAACTCTTTTCAGAAGACATTTCCACTTATGCAACAAGCCACTGATACGAAGAGCTCATGTCATACCTGAACTGAAAAAGTGGGATTCGATGAAAAGTTAGGGGATGGTCCATCCACAGATGGGCTTCCCCCTTCTGGAAATCCTGAGAGGAATTTGAAAAACACCAATTAACTTTTCCTATTTCTTTTCTTTCTTTTCTTTTTCTTTTTTTTCTTTTTGCCAGACATGGACCTGAACTCTGGGCCTGGGCAGTGTCCCTCAGCTCTTCAGCACAAGGCTAGCACTCTACCACTTGAGCCACAGCACCACTTCTGGCTTTTTCTGCTTATGTGGTGCTGAGGAATTGAACCCAGGGCCTTATGCATGCAAGGCAAGCGCTCTACCACTGAGCCACCTTCCCAGCACCAACTTTTCCTGTTTCTTGAGCAGGTAGTACATCTATACTGCACTGCTGTGATGGCTGCTGTGGGGGACACATATCAGAAAAACTGTTCTCAAAGTATGGTCTCGGGATTCTGGGAAGTATCCCCAGATTTTGGGGGAGGATACCAGAGGCCTTTATTTTTTCAATGATTTATCTTTGTGATCTCTACTTTCCTTCATATATTTCCGAGAGACGTAACATAATATCTGTAGCAAGTGGTAGGAAAATCCAGCAATCTTCCTTACTCAAGACAGTAAACAGATAGGAAAACCTGAGATAATGCCCCTCTTCCTACTACAATTCTTATTGGGAATTACTTATTTTCCATAAAAATATGTTTTGCTACCATGCAGTGAGTTATATATTATTTTAGGTAAATGAGGTTTCCAATGTTTCAACAGCTTTAACTCAATATATTTAGTGTTAATAGGAAGAAACATGTAAAGCAAAGTTCTTTAGGTCTGCAGGGTGAAGTGGTTCTGATCAGTCGAGTGTGGCCTAGCAAGCATTCAGCCTTGAGTTCAAATTCCAAAAAGTTACTAGACAGCTAGATAACTAACTAAATAATAAAGTGGTCCTGAGACCAAAATGTTTGAAAATTGCTGTCTTAAAGGCATAAACTCCCTTAAGTGTACAGCCTAACTATACAAACACTGAAACAGAGAAAATATATAGGTATATTCATAATTGTTGTTTTTTTTGTTTACTTATTCATTCTTTTGTTGGGTTTAAATTTTTAAATTGTTTTTTTTTTTTTTTTGTTTATCTGGTACTGAGGAATCAAACTCAGGGCCTCATGCACACTAGGCAAGCGCTCTACCACTAAGCGACATTCCCAGCCCCTTGTCCATTCATTTGTCCATCCTTTCTTCTGTCCCTTCTTTGTATCGAAGCATTTGGGTAAATAGCAGCCAATAAAACACCAACACTCCCTCCCCTCCTTACAAAACTGTCATATTTTCCTTGAAGGAAATTATCCACATATTTGCCCTGTCCTCTTGTTAGACATGCTTGACAACCATTAAAAATGTATTTAGAATTTAATAATCATTTATTGAGGACTTACTATGTACAAAGCACTATCCCAGATATTGCTCATATGTTATTTTACTTATTTTATTTTTTGGTGCCAGTACTGGGGCTTGAACTCAGGGCTTTGCACTCTCACTTGGCTTTTTTGCTCAAGGCTAGTGCTCTACCATATGAGCCACACTCCTGGCTTCCTTACTTGATCTTTTCATTTTGAAAACAACTAAAGGGATCTTACTTCTTTTACTACAAAACAAGATGTCCAAGCAGTAAAATAATCAATGTGAAATAAGATAAAAAGGCAAAAAATGCTCTCAATGATTTACCTTTCAAAATAATCCTATGAAATAGCTATTGTTGGCATCACGTTAGAGATGGAGAAATAAGCAGAGACACTAAGACCACAGCTGAAAGTGACCCCTGGGGAAGAATCCAGGTCTGTGAGATAGCAGTCCAGCTAAGCCTCTACCTTGTGGCCCTCTTTGTGACTTCCCTGTACTTACTTGGCAGAGGAATCGGTTTCTGAGGGAGAGGTCTGAAAAGAAGAAGTTAAGATAAATTAAGGGGGCAAAGCACAATATGATTTTGTTGGTGGTATTAACACGGACAGAATTATGAAGAAACTCATCACAAAGGCTAATAAGACATATCTCAAGTCAGGAGAGGCACCAAAATCTTAAAAATCAGCAAGATTATGCCTTTTAGTTTAGCGAAAGAAGGAGTCTTGACTGAAGTGTTATAGTTAAATTAAATCCAATAATTGACCTGGATAATACGTCTCTACAGTACAACCTTGCTTAAGACCTAAGATTTAATTACAAAGCAGTGACCTATTGGATCTTTATGAAGCACTAAAAACTAGAGTCACTGTGCATGCCACTAAGCATGCGTTCATTCCTACAGCAACAGAAGGATAATCATTATTTGTTTGTTTGTTTATTGTTGAGGTAAGGTTTTTCTGTATGGGGGAGGGACTGGCTACGTAGCACAAGGTGGCCACCCAAGTGCTGAGATTACAGGTGAATACTACCACATTGAGCCGGAAACTCATTTTTTAAAAAAGTGACTCCCTAGTTCAGTCTGCTAAAAAGGGCTCAAAAACAATCAGTCTGGTCTTAGTAGATGGAGGAACCCAGATTCAGTTTCCGTTTTGTTTAGTGGTACTGGGGTTTGAACTCAGAGCCTTAGTGCTCGCTAGGCAGGAGCTCTACCACTTGAGCCACATCTCCAGCCTAGAAACTTGTTTTTAAAGAGAAAAAGAGTCTTACTTGAGGGCAGGCGGAAACACTGGTGACTGGACAGCTTCTTGTCTGTGGCTAGATCCTCGGTGGCGTTCAGCAGGGATAGGCTTTTCTGGATTAGGAGAAATCTTATATTAGGATTAGTGTGAAATGTTTATCTCCATCAGCAAACCCAGCTGCATCAGCTTAGAAGGACCATGTTTGGTCAGATGTCTTCCCAAGAATGTCTTCAGCAGGATGTGATTAGTTTGTGCACTTGTCAGCCTTGTGGACCACAAGTGCTATTGGGATCAGGACTCCTACCTAGCAATGTTCATGGATTCTGCATCTAGGGGGGCTGGAGTTTAGAGTGGCAAGGTTTGACATCCACAACACAATTCACCTCTACTTTCTCTGTCATTTCTCTGACTTTTCAAAATTCATGACCTTGGCTGAGCTGTTAACTCTTAAGATATGTGAATGGCTCTTAGCATTCAGATTTGTAGGGTCTTGGCACTTTCTTGTCCATCCTACCTGTCCTGTCTGCAAAGAGATATGTGCTTGGCACATGGGCTGCAGCCCTACTGAAGATCCTGCTTGATGAGTCCAGGTCTGAGCTGGCTTTGCTACACATTATGCGTTGCCAAGTGAAAGACCATTTTGTTTCAAGAACTCAATTTTATATTTCAATTAAATCAGGATTCCACTTATATGCAGACACGTAATTAAACATTACTTTCAGAGAACATGCTTATCCTTAGAATAAATAAGTTTACCTTCACAAACACTTGACGTGGCCTGTTGAGAGGCAACTGGAGTCTATGCAAAAGAAAAGGAAAGGCAGTGCTATTCAAACTAGCAGAACATGGAAATACACGCCAAAGTAATACTATTTTAGAAAAGTGTTGGTCAAGTTTTCTTTGACAGATAGTTGTCCCTTCACTCACACACAGTTCTAAGCCCAACCAGACAACTGTCCAGAAGTGCCTCTTGGAGGCAGCTTGAGCATCAACTTGCTCTGTCAACAGTGGTGCTTGTGCAGTGAGCAACTTGCATCTAGCCTCACCTTGTATGTTTGCAAGTGATTGTCAACTGCAGGCTTCTAGTAGGTTCCAGGCCCAGGTGGACCGCCTTCTATGAGGGAATGGCCTAGGTTCACCAGGTTCTGGCAAGCATCTGAGTTTTGACTGAGTCTGTGTGCCTGATAAGACACTGGCCTGCCATTTGCTCCAGGGTTAAGAGGCTGGAAGTGGACACAGGGACTTTCCTTGGTAAAGGCAAGGTGTTAAGAGGCCTGGAGCCTGGCTGTTTGTTTTCTGATCTGTCTGCATACACTTAACAAAGGAGCTGCCAGGGTCTAGCAAGGAAGAGCTACCAGAGGATCTGCAGTCCTAGCAACTGTAAGGACAGCAGCTTCAATAGCTAAGAAGGTGGTTTTCATGATAGCAAGAAGCATTTTCAACCTTAATGAATATGGAAACACAGAGCAAGAAATAGGAAGCACTTTGAAATGGAAAAGTAACTTACTATCTTCAATGGGGTAGCTGTTTTCCTCCTGGGGAATAAAAAGAGATTGGCTTTAATAAAACATACTGAAAATGAAGTGAAGTTGACTACCATCTTATTGACAGATTTAAAGAGGATCACATCTATAATTTTAGCTACTCAGGAGTCTGAGATCAGAGAATCATGGTTTAGAGCCAAGTTGGGACAGAAGGTATGCTTTAAAAAAATAATACATTGAGCCAACATTACAACATTCATTGTTTGCAAAGAGCTTTTGTTTGTTTGTCATAGAGCTTGAACTCAAGGCCTGGTGGACTCTGTCCCTGAACTTTTCTGTTCACGGCTAGCACGCTACCACTTTGAACCACAGCTCCACTTCTGGTTTTCTGGTAGTTAATTGAAGGTAAGAGTCTCATGGATTTTCTTGCCAGGGCTGGCTTTGAATTGTGATTCTCAGATTTTAGCTTCCTGAGTAGCTAGGATTATAGGCATGAGCCACCAATTCCCAGCTTGTAAAGAGCTTTTAAATCCAGTAAGCAAGAATAATTTGTGTATCACTTTGGAAAAGCACCTTGCCACTGGTGTTTGAAGTGTACACTAGCGTATGTGCAAACATCATGTACATTTATTGCATATCATTTTTCTCTTTGCAAGAGCAGTAGAAGAGGAGAAGAGAAAACCTGCTCTAAGGACTCAGAATCATTCAGGGTCCTCTGAAGGTGAGGGTATCTTGCAGAAAACTTGGTCAGTATACTCAAGATTTAATTGAATGTAGTTAGACTCTTAGCTTCCCATGTCATCAGGAGCTACCCTGGTCCAATGTTCAGCCTGCTTGAGGGGGTGAGGAATGTCCATTGGAGGTTCCCAGGGCAGCAGGTTCCTAGAATTCCATTCATCCAGTCTCACAAGGTTTCTGCCTACAGTGATAACTCACCCGACCCTGGGCAGTGGGGATGGCACCGAGGGTGAAGATGACTTGGAATCCCAGGCTCCGCTGTTCCGACCTGCACAAAGACAAATGAGGGTCCGTCGTGGTGTTCTGTCCTTGGGTCTGATGATGTCAGAGAGGCTGGTTTTTCCAGCAGACTCACATTTTGTGTTGCTTTTAGCTAACTGTGTCTACCAGGTCTGAGGCTATGAGGCAAACCTGTTGCTATATTTAAAAACAGTATGTACTCTTAGAGGAGGCAGTGTGTAAGAAAAACTTCTTTTTTCCTATCCAAGTAGTTTTGCTTCCTTCCAGTTAATCTTGTGAGAATTGATTTTTGAAAAGTTCCTGCTTTGGCCCAGAGGCTTGACCCTTGTTAATTACATTTTAGTTACATCCTTTTCCTGATGCACTTTAATTACGGCATCTCATTAAATGTCCCTTAAATTTTAGTTACATCCTGTTAATTGAGCCACATCCTTTTGCAGGTTGTGAACCTGAGCTCAGCCAATCTGAAAAGGGAGGAGCCCACCTGCTCTGTGCTTGCTTGACAAATTTTTGCTTGATGGCATACTCTTCTGCAGAAGTTAGCTTTGCCTTGTCAAGTTCCTTTTGAGTTGATGTCCTTATTCTTACACCCCAACATCCCAAGCTGTTTCTTCCATCTGAATAGCTCTGAAGGACTTCTTATGTCCACAGACAGGCCCAGAGCCACCTGATTCAACCAAGAGCTCATACCTTATGTGTATACACTGCACAGAAGATGACTACAGATGGTGTGCAGAGACAAACAACTTCACACCCACCACCTCCAAAACAGGCATACATCTTTATCTGGGACCCTCCACTTCAACCCAGTATATCATTCAACACAGTACCTCACCTTACTGGTGGAGAATGTTCATTAGTTCATTTCTGAGGTCCTAGGGCCTTTGCTTAGGGCCCCCATAGGCAAATTAGGGCAAGTGGTAGACTATGCCCCACAGTTCACCTTCGGAAGTCATCCACGGGACAGAGGACCTTGTCCTCTGCCCCAGGCCTCCCTCCCCTACCAGGAGACAATGCTAATCTTTATGATGGAGAGAGGGAGAGACACAGGGTAAATCCTCACCTAGAGATTGAAGACAGGCTTGCAGGGAGAGACCATCCCCTCAGGAAGGTGCTCTGCTATTTGGACACTGTTAGTCAGTGAGATAAGTCACACAAGTACTTTACCTGAAGGTGTCCCCGGAAGAGGTGTGGGCTTTGAGGAGCTATTTGGTTTGGTCGATCTGTTCACCAAGGGAGCTTAAATAAACACATACAGAATAATTACAGAAGGTGGCTCATACCTGTAATCCTAGCTACTCAGGGGGCTGAGATCTGAGGGTCGAGGTTTAAAGCCAGCCCAGGCAAGGAAAGTCCATGAGACTCTAATCTCCAATAAACCACCAGAAAACCAGAAGTGGTACAATGAAGAGGTGAGGGACAGTACCCAGGCCCAGAGTAAAAGCCCCACACTGACAACAACAACAACAAAAAAGATACAGATACAGATAATTACAGAATTCCCGTTTGATGAGGGTGCTCTCTGTTCTGGCCAGCGGGGAAGGGACATACTGAGATGCCAGAGCAGACAGCCCTGGCATAGTCCCTTCTGAGACTCTCCATGCTTTCCCTGGAACAGCCTTGAATGTCCTCACCAACTGCCAGGAATTTCCAGGGGCTTCCCACTGCAAACTCACCTTTTTCAGATGGAAGTGGACCGCTTTCTGTGGGGTGAATATAGTTTTCATTGTCTTCCACAGGGACCACATAATCAGCCTAAGAGAAATGTAGAGATGAATGGTGGACTGTTAGGAGGACTGATTTTTTTTTTTTTAAGAGAAACCTTATTGGGCAATCCTTCGCATAGGATTGCACTTTGTAAACCACAGTGCAGTGCATTGGGCATAGAGTCACGCCTTGGAATTTGCTTGTATGCATTGTATTTGCATAAAACCAGTGGTGCCCTCTTGTGTATTTTACATGATCTAGGGATCACCATTACATAAATGGGAATGTAAATCATTGTAGGGTTCTGGAAGTAATGGCCAGAAAAAAAGTGATTATAGGGGTTGGGAAGGTAGCTCAGTGGTAGAGCACTGGCCTTGCATGCCTCTGAAGCCCTGGGTTCGATTCCTCAGCACCACATAAGCAAAAAGAAAAAAGCCAGAAGTGGTGCTGTGGCTCAAGTGGTAGAGCGCTAGCCTTGAGCTGA